CCTCGCTTCTGAACACTTGGCTTTGTGACCTGAACTGCTTCCCTTTAATACAGGGTTTCACACCTAGTTTTCCAGATTTTTTTTTTAAAGCAAAGGAAATACTTCCTAAACTTACTGCTACTGCAGTTGTCAGGCACAGTTATGGAGCCACCAAATTGCAATCTGTGCTCAAAAACTAGTAAAGTAACCCACTAAATCTGTGACTTCATCCTGCATCTGTAGCAGAACTGAAGAGGGTGAGATGGTTCGTGTTAGATTTCAGAGCTACTGCTGGCAACAAGAGGATCTGTTGGACTTTGGGCAAATCTCATTCTGTCCATCTTCGCCCATCTCCTCTACCATCTTCCCTCTGCTCCTTTCAACGGGAGTCAGTCTTTTTATTTGTCATTTCTGGACTCTTGTGTCCTCTTACCCCAGCTTACTCATCCAGCTTTGTGCTTCTAACCCCTCACTTCACCAACTCCAGCTCCTCAGGCAGTTCCAATACAGCATTACTTTCTGTGCTCCCAATCTCTTCGCCTGACCAGCATCAACTTCCTCTCATCCTCCTAGGAGTTAAGCTATTTCTACAGATACTGCGTATCTTGATGCTTTTCTCCTTTTAATCACTTATCAGATTTTCCTCAGAGCGAAAAAAGAGATATGAATAAATAAAGATCAATCATATTGAAAAAGTCCCATGTTGGTATTGTTCCATGCCAGAGTACTGGCTAACAGAAGTCATGTGGGTACTGCTCTATGCAGGATTAAGCTTCAATTGCCATTTATACACTTCACAGAAGAAACCTGAATTATCACATGATAGCACAAGTAATGCTCCATCTCACCTAGAGCGCTGCATAGCTCCACGAAGATACTATGTACACACCCAAATTCAAGATGAACCCTTCCCAAAGGCAGAATCTTGAGCATACTTCGTTACAAAAGCTCAGAAGACTGAAGTACTATCAGAATGTCCAACGTCCATTACGATCAACACTTTAATAACAAATTGGCTAGTTCTGGAAATGGGGTAAGGGGAAATCTTATGCGCTATTTCTGTTTAAAGGTTCAGTGTAGTCAGTGAAGAAAAAGTATTACAGTTAGGATCCTACACAGTACTGCCCTATAAATGAAATAATTTCTAAGTTTTAGAAAAGCAACACAAATCACTACCTGTACATTTCTTTTGTATTCCTGTACAAGCCACACTCACATTCCATGAACAGTACAGTATTAAGGAAAAGAAGAAACTATCCTAAAAAAACATACCACGGCAAATGATTTTCTGTAATTTGAACTACACATACACACTCGTATTACGTGCTTTGAAAGAAAAAAGATGCCTCGCTTTTACTTTATAGTAGAGCTGTGTGTGGCTTACAGCAGTAGCGTTTTAAACCCAATTCACTTGGAGAGGTTCAGCACCGAGCACAACTGCATCTACCTGTAAATACAGATCATGCTGAATAGCTCCTGGAAATATTTTCTAGAGCTTAGATCTAGTCCTTTTGGCAGTGCAAAGGAAAAAGTGATTAAAATTTATTAATCCTAGTAAAAACTTTTCTTTAAACACAACTTTGACTGGTGTTCTTGTATTAGTGTTGATTACTACATACTTTACAAAAAAGAATTTTCAGTTTACTTTAGAATGCATGGACTAAGTATCTTGGACAAAATGATCCAATTCTAAATGCCAGAAAACATTATTAAAGACATAACCTGGGGCACATAAGGAATTCAAAGTCTAATTATATTCATACAAGGTTAAAGTAATTCAACAGAAATCAAAGAGCATTTTGAAGCAAATATCAATTAAAATATTGCCGTTCCTTCCTACTACAATTAAATTTTGCCAGTCACTCCAGCAGCACATTGTTTAATATGTAAACACTCTAAATTTATTGTATTCAATTAATCTCTAAAAATATTTTTACATCAAATAATCACTAAAAACAGCCTTCACCAATAAAAATTCATCTTAATTTTGCTTTCATGCGCCAAGGGATTTTATGTAAAACTCTTCATTTAATTTGAAAAAAACCCACACCCAAAACCCACAGAAGACAACTGGTACAATGCTCATTTTGCCTAAAAAAGACAGTTTTCACAGTTTTAAAACATCTTTTGAATCACAAGGCAAGAATACTGCCATTCAATGCCTGTACAAGCACAAAGAAATGAGTTTGTGTACAGCTTACTTTTTAAATGTGGATCCCAAAACACAACTGTTCGTGTCTCTAGATGTGCTTTTCTATCAGTTAAAATCCAAACAAATTTATTCCAGTAGGAGTACAAAGGACAACAGCCACAAGTCCAATGTACGTTTTTTCCAGATACTCCTAATAATTTCAATTCTTGTAGAGCTGTTAATCCAGAGAAATCAGAACCGCTATCAGCTTGTAGCCAGTCGCAAGTCACGTGCCTGCATTTCGTCTGACATATATTTACACAATCTTTACTTTGAGATGTTATTTTTAACACCTGTGACCTTGTTTTTACCAAATACATTTTTTTCCCCTGAAACTGTAGGTGTAACCCATTTTATATTAGAAAATGTATGTATTGCTTATGTTATACAACACTGAGCCAGTACTGAAAGCAGTTCAACTGCAAGGAAATGCAGGTCCAGCTCACGGTTGCTACTCTTTAAGAAAACGCTGATAAATTTGGGTCTGTCTTGCCTCAAAGTTAACTGCTTTCAGCACTGCTCAGCAGCAGGCAGCACAGGCATCTATTATCAGCAAGGGGAGTAACAACTACTGTTGGCTTATGACTGTCAGTGCCTGGCTTCACAGTGACCAGGTTCTTGATCACATCGAGCTATTAAGGCATGCACTGGGTTTCACATGTTCTCATGTGTTTACTGATCTCTCTAATCTCCAAAGGACAAATCAAAAAGTAACCTCAAGCACACGCTTAAACACTGGTGGTTGAACTGCAGAACTCTTGTCAACGTTTGTCAGCTCAAGAGTTTATTAAATTTGGGAACTTGCATAAAGAAGCGAAATGAAAAAAACCCTTCTACTAGAGGCTCGAAGGTTCTGGCATGATCTGCATGCTACCTGAAAACACAGAACACTCAGGTCGTAAAGTAAATCCTTTGCTTCTCTGCAAAAATCAATTCGTTTTGCTTATTTCTTCAACAGAAGGCAACAAACACGCACAGTGTTATGGCTTCATGCCATAAATCTCCAAAGGTGATAGGCAGTGACTTAAACCAATCCAACAGCAGCTTAACTGTACAGCACATATGTTACAGTTGGTATTTAATAACCTTAAAAATTTTACAGTGCTACACAGGAAGGTGTCTGAGGGATGCAGGAGGAGTACCTTACCTAAATCTACCATGAGAAGACGAGTGAGAGCTGTGTAGAACACTGTCCGGCACCTAAGGTCACTGAGGCTGTAATTATCACTGATGTGCAAGAAAGGGAAGTGCTTACTCTGTTGAAACATAAGCATATGAAAAGTTAAGAGTTGTACAACATTTGCTACCTATGATGTTTTTTAACATAGTAAGAAAACTTACTGTGTGATTCTGAAGCATGAATTTCACAGCCTCTATTTTCACAAGCTTTTTCAGGAGACTATAAGTAGCAGGTGTCAAGGAAAAACGAGTCTTGCAGCATTACGGTTACATTATGAGGTTGTATGAACTTCCAGTTTTAGTGAGAAACAAGTCCTAACTGAAACAACAACAAATGTACATTAAAAAAAAAATAATCTGAATTTGATCTAGAAATACAGATATTCTTTAGAACATTAGAGACCATGATCTATTATTAATTAAAGCACTTACTTTTCATGGCATATATTTTAGTCACAAAAGAGACGAATGAACTAAATGACTTTTATAATTAAATGGAGAGTTTCTGATAATAAATGGTGCTGTTTTTAACCTAGACAGACCCAAAGTGTTTTGCAGCTGCCTGCACTGAAGATGACTGGCACTTGGCAATGGGACTGGCTGCAGCCCTAAGCAGCCCTGACCTAACTGCCTCAAAAATCACAGAGGCGATTGTCCAGGCTCATCAAAAATCACGTTTGTTTAAGTTACAACAGATAAAAATACATCTCATACATACTAAGCTATGTTAAATACTTAATCAAAGTATTTTCTGATGTGTAAGAACTGAATGGAAATTTCTTAAGAACTCACAAAGTCTCAAGGCCAGAGCAAAATCAGCAACGAAGTGGTAGAGCTGGAAATTTTGGGTGTGTCTATGGGTACTTCCACAGAAATCTCATTTTCTCCAACTTCCTAAAACACAAAGCAAATCTAACTGACTACTGCTAAGCACGAATCGAGTTCTCCCACTCCCCAAGCTGGCTCCAACCCAGCCAGTGACCATCCAGGCGGCAGGTAACCGCAGCAGCAGCCTCGGGCACCACGCTCTGCTCTCTGCTTCCAGACCCTCAGGAAGGTCTGCTCTGCTCCAGCAAAGCCGCCTGACCCCTGGGCTCAAGCTCCTGGGCCTGGCCCAGCATGATAAGCTTGAGCCCATCTGTATCTGCTCACACACAGAGGCTCCCAGGGAGAGGCACACGAGATGGCACTGAAGCAACATCCTTCCCGGACCACGTGTATTCCACAGATCACGTATCCTAGCGTGGCTTATTAGGTAGTTTTATCTGATGAAACTTAATCTTTCTCTTCAGGTTTCTTTTAAAAAGCACAAGAAACTGTATTAAAACAAAAGCTGAGTTTGCAAAACCTATGTTACAGAAGCCCTTAAAGGTCAGATGGTTACGACTTGTTTCACCCCTTGAATCCTTTCCAAGCTGTGTGAGTTATGAACATCCTCAACAGCCTGAGCACACACTAACTCTGCCTCAGACAACTCAAAGATGTGGGGTTGGGTAAAGGAGATAGTACTGCACGTTCCAGAAAGAGTCAGGCTGACATCTTGGGGAGCTTCTGCACAGAGGCAGCCGCTGCCACGAGGCATGTTTGCAAAAAAGAAGTGAGAGAACGGCCAAGGCTGGATTTTCTGACTCCTGCCTCTCCTTCATTTGCCACACAACTGCTGCACGACTTCACCAAGTCAGTTATTTCACCGTCTCAGTTCTGCATCTGTACCATGGGGATATAAAAGGCTTCCCGATATCTGACTGTACGACTACATCTTTTCAGGAATACCACAGAAAAAAAAAAAATCAACCCCCAGAAAGACTCGTAAGCACTGAAGGGACCAGATGAACGAAATGACTTATGTGCTTGTACATTCTACAATGGATATTATGAAAACTGGACTCACTAGTTCACCAAACACTGTTGAACCCTGGAGCTGACGAAGTTGTTTAAGAAATGATCAGTATGGCTGCATGCTGTACAGGAGTGCCTACAGTCTGCACAAACACAGGAGATGTTCCACATACCCGTAACACTTACTGCCATTACGGGTTTTTTTGAGCGCCTGCTTCACTCTGCCATCCCTGCACATAATTGATTGAAGAGTTCGATTACTTTTATGGGAATAAACAATTTCCCTTTTCATTTTAAATGGATTAAATTCTTTTTAAACAGACAAAAGTGTAAAAATAGGTTTTATAGCTGCTATTGGAAAATCTCATAATCTAGTTTTAAGACAATGTTCCTCTGTCAATCTATAACACTTGACATGGCATTACCTGGTTTTATATTGCAAAGCTGCGGAGCTGTTTTCCCCCCCTCGTTACAAGAGAGAACATTTCATAACATAAGGCTAACAAAGATATGGATAAAGAATTTTTGAGAGACTACAAATATTTTACCCGGAGTTATTGTACAAAACAACAATGAAACCGTAGTTATTTTGCTACAAAAATACACAGCGGAAAAGTTAATTATTAGAAAGAACTAAATGTGCATGAGGGAGCACTATGGCTTCAAAGACATAAAGGAATGACTAACATATTCCATTATGTAAATATATTTCACAACTGATCAGCTAGGAGGGACATAATGATTTATAATTCAAATAACTGAGCTTTGAAATCAAATTGGGCTAATATATTTCGAAATATGCAAACCTGGAATAATTGTGAAAGTAATGTAAACCATGACACCAGCTCCAATCATTTGTTGCCTTTGCTGTTAATACTGCCTTACGTTTCCCCTTTTTTTTTTTTGGCTCTTATGTAGCACGGTTGCTGGAATTATGGTTTGCTTTTAATTCTAGATTATCCTTTAGAAATGGACTATTATACACATGAAAAAAAAAGAATACCAATTTCTAAGACTTTGTAGAAGCTGATTGACGTACAGGGAAGTACTGAAATTAAATAAATTATTATTTTAACCTTTCAGGCTAGCCACAGTTTAATCTATATCAAATACTGAAAATTGATCCACTGGATCCAGCATCTTAACAATACACTATTTCTTTCAAAGCAATATATACTTAATGCCTTTTAAAAAAACCCTAATATAATGTGAAAAGGCCAAAGTTTGCAATGCCAGGAAGTAGTTATAAACTACTTCATATGTCTGAAATAAAAAGTACTTCAGTATTATTATTAAAAAAACCCTATTGGTAGAGTTTTTAATGGGAAAAAAATACATATCTTTAAAAGCCAAAATGACCAGTGAAATTGGGTTGTACATCATTTTCTGGGAAAAAGGAAAAACAGCCTCGACAGGTGTAATTTATCATTTTTCTGATTTAATACCAAAGAAATATATTAAAATAATAAAAAGAATCCTGAAATCCTCAAAATTTGTAGTGATAAATAGCCCTCCCTGTCTTTATTGCATTATGCCTACTAACAGAAATATTGCATGGTGGATTTTGCCAGACAACGACGATTATTTTCCAATAAAAAGTTGCATATTAAATTCCAGCACAAAAGTGGGTGTCTAATACTTTTGAAATCTTTTATGGTTTGCCAGGGAACACAATTTTAAACTTAACTAATACAACATCACGGTGAAGCGAACCAGCATTAAAGCTGTCTTTGTACAACCCCACCCATCTAAGCAGAAAAGCTACTGTTGTCAGAATTTGTTTGAAGTATTTCCATCGAAAAATAATTGCATAAATTTTGGTATTTATGTTTTAAGTTAATCTCTCTTTTTAACGGTGTTTAAACATTTCCCATCGACGTTCAAGACGTACATTTAGGAAGGCAGTGCTGCTTTACCTCCGGACTATGCAGAGGGGTCTGAAACTGCTTCTGCAGCAGTTAGCAAGTTGTTGCAAAAAGCGCCCACAATTTTATCACAATTCTACTTTTCAGGAGAACTTAGGTTAATAAATACCTACTTTTTCATCCTTTCTAGGTCCTGATATTATAATATTTATTTCATGAGCTGAAATTCATTTACTGCAAATACCAGCTGAGTAATTTGAAAACTAAAACTATTCAGACATTTCAACCTCAGAAAGTATTATTTGCACCAATAATTCAAACTGACGCTCATTTTTGTGAGCTATCATGTGAATAGATGGTGCTGAAACGCTCCAGAAGACAACATGAAATGCTAGATGCTCACTGGCTTTAGCAGCAATACGAGGCCGATTACTGCAGCAAGTACACATACATAAATAAACCAAGAGGCAAGCACTTTAAGTTAGGTGCACCATGTTACATTTCTGATTTTGAAAGTGTTTTGAACGCTACTGAAGCAATAAGTATACAGTATAAAAGAGAAGAGAGCTTATTAGCCCCTTCATAAAACTTAATGAAATAAATGTCTCCCCTTCTGCTTTTGTCCAATTGTTTCACTTTCAAGTCCTTTCCGGTCCTATTTCCATGATGCCATGAGAACATAAGCACATGCACATTTAAAATATCAAGTTAGCTGCTTAATGGTATTTCAAGTAAACATAGAGAAGTACACATTGTATGATTTTCATTAAACAAAATTCACTTATGGAATGTGAAAACCCATACTCATCTTTCAACTCAAGGAAATATATTTGAATTCTTCTTATACGATTAGAGTTCTATGGAGAAATAAAATGATACCAATTGTCATATTCCAGGTGCCTTCCCCTCTGCTTGTCTAACAATCTCCTCTAGAAAATTACTGAAAAGTTGTTTTTATTTTAGAATAGTGAAGGATTTCAATATTGAATGTTTTCATGAGCCTTAGTGGTTTATTATATGTCGTGTATCTTTAAATATTGTGTCATAACAAACTAGCTACAATTGCTTTTTAAATATTGCTCAATTGACTGAAAATTCAAAGAGTAAACATTCCTTCTTCAACTTACGGTAAGTCAGTGAATATTAAAACAAATGATACAAAAGGTTTACAACTGACAGCAAGCTAGCATCCATGATTTGGGTAAGAATTTCACAAAAATACTTGAGCTCAGACAAAAATCCACATGCAAAGCCATGGCTGTTTTATCATAGCAATGACACTGACTCAGTGAGGAACGTGAAATCAGGCAAAAACAAAACATGGGAAGAGACTTGTGTCTAAAATCTAACCCACGCTACATGTCTTAGTGCACTCATCCTCAAAGTAGAATCAATTGCGTTCTCAGTACTGCTCCCTCTTCAGTGGGGCTGACTTCAGGAAGAACACGAATGGGATAGATGACACTGAACAACTAGCTGGATGATTTCTCTTGTTAAGTGGGTGGAAATGAACACACCTTTTAAAAACTATGCATAGAAAAGGATAAACAAAAGTGAAAAAAATGGTAATATTCTAATTGGTTCAAAAATGTGGTATATGAAACAACAGAAGTCTCACACTAATTTTTACGTTATTATTTTCAAATAATATATCATGCCATATACAATAAAAAGGATATCAGACAGAAAGGTCATTTAGAAACTGAAGAGTTCTTGAAATCACAGGCTCACATCTTCCCCGGTATTTGAGATTTGTAACACTAGAATAAACAAAACAAAACGAGTGAAAATTATAACAGGCTTTCCTTGTTTTTGAGAAGTGCAGTGCAAAAAGCTCACAGCAGTAGCATTATATTACGAATATATTTCTGTGATATATCTTAGGATTCTCCACTTCTGAGAAAGAAAATGCCACACAAACATGCCGTGTCTTTTTCCCGAATAAGGGATTCACGCATTTTTGTAATATTGTAATGAATACAGTAATTTTAAAAAATATCATCATCTCTGTCAAGGTAAAACAAATGATCTGAAGCTTACCCCTATTTATATCTATCTTACTTTCCAGCCCAATATTTGTCTGCTTAGCTTCTGTAGTTTTTATCTGCCCAATTCTCCACAGAATAAAACAATAAATTGCAACAAATTCCCTAGGAAAATTTCCATAGGAGAAATGGGGCACAAAAAAACTAAGGGCAAATTCACAGAGCTACTGCTACACTCAATTCCCACTGAAACTCTACCTTGTGGTCATTGTACTAGTCCCTACTTCTTAAATTAACTAAATCAAGACATATAGAGGATACTGCATTTGTCTTAACTGCGGCCCCTCTCAGACACAGGCATTGAGGAAGCATATTCTGATTAATGAACCGACGCTTGAATCATGATATAGGATAACACCAGACCTATTATCAATCCTCGGGGAACACCACGTAAAACAACCTACCGCTTCCGACAGCACACTTCTAGTTAGCCTTTCAGTGAAATCGTGCAGCTAACACTTGCCCTACTAGCTTCCCTAGCAGTTACGTGTGAGACATGGAGCACAGAACTGGGACCCTCTTACAACTTCTGCACCCCGTGTAGGGCAGTGCAAAAACACTGAAGTGGCTCGGGGTGCAATCTCTTGTTCACCTACCATATTTATTAGGAGGTGAAGAGGTGGCATTAGCCTTCAGCTGAAAGGGGTAAATTGAAGCCAGTCAAGTGGAGGAACATAAATATTTTTCAAACAAGGATGGTTACAAGTTAAGAGTCGCTGAGCTTGTCATCCTGTCATTTCCCAGCTCTCCCACGGGAATGTCAGGTAGGCCAGTGTCAGCAACCTTACTGAAGTCCAAATGGCTGATATTTTCTCTTTCTGTTGCAAACTCCAGCCAGTGAGTCCAAGAAGAAATTATCCCGTCTCTCTCAAGTAGCCCAAATGCATTTATCGCTTCATTCTATATCGACTACTAGTAACTGTTTCTAGCACTCCTTTGAGAATCCAAGTGAGGCTGACTGGCCTGTAAGGTGTTGCTTCCTCTTATCTCCTCTTTTTTGAAAGGAAACTCCTGGCACATCCACCAGCACCCTCAACTGCTAAAAAAACCCCAAAACCCAAACCCCAAAGAAAGTTGAATGCTCCCTTCCTCCGGAGAGAGGGAAATAATGCTGTGTAAGAGATTCACAGCTGAGTTTCTGATACTGGATTTGTCTGGAGACAAGGCCATCCCAGCTCAAGCATGGCCCACTCAAACAAAACGTGAGCAAGGCTTCCTGGCTCGGAAGCGTTGGCACCTCCTCCTGATCATGATATCAGATCACTAGGGTGTATCTCAAACCGCCAATACTGCCTAAGGAGACTTTCTGCTGTGCCTTTTGCAACTGGGCTTGCCTATCCCGCACTGGCCTTTTTAGCCATCAGCACTTGTAGCGAGTGTGGGTAGAGCCCTTCCCATATCTTCGTTCGCGAAGCCTAGCCACGATGATGATGATCTCAAACTGCCAGGTGATCAGGAGTAAGTCATTTCAGCTCTGTCTGCCTCAGTTTCCTTGTCTGTAGAATATATATAATCATTCTGACTTCAAGCTGTCAGATTTCTTGGTGAAAGACCATGACGTAGGGGGTGTAATAGTACCAGCACTTACACTGCGATGCAGTAGGATTCCCATTTTGGTAATACAGAACTTGAAGAAGAGATGTTAAATGCCTTAAAATCAGCACTGATTATTGCTTTTACATATTCACAAGCTACAGAGTGTACTACGCCACATAACCTAATTCTCTTTTCAGGAAGCTATAAACTCAGGAATGCAGTTTAAAGCATCTGTTTTGTATTATTTGCTCAGGAAAAGGCAAATAACAATGCAATTACCAAAGCAGTATTCCTCAATTTAGATTTACAAACAAACATTGATTTACTTTATATAAACTCTATGAAGAGCTACAGAGGTTCGGCTTGCCTTAAAGAAATAGCCCATTCTAGTAAGCCCATAATTCATACTTTATCCCTACTATGGGGAGTTCTGGAGATGTTTATAGTTGCACTAAATCCTTAACAAGTACACACCATACAAAGCAATAAAAATGAATTTGGACTACACAGATATGACATCAATATCAAAATCATAAAAAGGCTATTTTGCAAAACAGCAAAATATTTGTCATTCAGTGGCCAGACATAAGACATCTAAAGAAAAACAAGAAGACACAGTGACAGCTTGAAGAGAAAATTAGAAGTGTGTAAGTAAGGCTCTTCATTCAACATGTAGGGTACTTTTGTACACATCTATTCTTTCAGTTCATGGTTGTACCTGGATGCTGACAGATGAAGTAATAATATAAAAACTAGAAAGTACTAGACAGTGAACAGGGGCGGGAAAAAAAATCAATTATAATCACAGCAATTCCCATTTCTGTTTCTGCCTTATCAATATGAGGCAGGATGAAAGAAACATAAAATGTAGTATTTTAAGAAACATCTACAAAACATTATAAGTATCTGTGAAAATGTGTAAAGATCTAGCGAGGAAACTCATAATACAAAAAAGCAGTTTTCTACTATGTAAAGAAGAGAAGCCAAGGAATGGAAGAGGAGAAAAAATTAAAGCTCTCTGAGAAATCATGGCAAGAGAACATTTAAATCCACATGCTAGTTGTTGTCTCTCTCAATTGGCTTACTGATTTAAAATAAGAACTAAATGAAAAAGAGTCAAAGGAACCAATCATAAAGTTTCAGATGAGTCACTGAAAATAAGAGCTTCATCAAAAGCTACACCAATGCCGAATGCACCAAAAAAAAAAAAAAAATCTACAGTAGGTGAGCACTGAATGTATTTTAAGGTCACACACAGAGAAGTTGGAAATAAAAAATGGCAGAGTATTTTCAGTTTTGGTAATAATACCAGTATCAAAATACTGAACTACATACACAACCAAAAGAGCAACAGTAACATTGATCCATGCTGAAAAGCTATGAGAATTTGAAAAATTTAGAGGAAACTGCATTAAGAAACCAGTACATTTTCAAATATTTCCTCTTAATTTGCCTTTAGTAAGAAGACTAAAATATCCACAAGCAGCTTGCCAGCTCTCCAACCTCCAAACCTGGCAGCTTGCTATGAGACTGTCTTCACCACGACTGCTTACTAAGGCAGTTCCATCAGCACAAACATCTCTTCCCTCAATACAGTGACTTAAAAATATTAAGAGACTGAGTATTTCTAACCTAAATTCCAGAAGGGGAAGATAAATAATGATTATATATTCCAATTTACAATCCCCTAGGAAAGGGGTTACCATACCATCCACAGAAGAATCAAACTTTTTTTGTTGCATGTTCCAAGTCATGATATTTGGCCAGGGAAAAAAATCAAGGCAAAGAAACGCCCACTCCCAGCCTCTTAAATCCATTTCTTGACTTTTCCCCCCACCCCCAATCCATTCTATTGTCCTTAATTTCCTGCCTCGTCCTCAGGTTATGATTTGGAGAAAGACCTCTTCAGACATACAGACTGAACCACATTGATCTCAAAAGCTCCGTTCGGTGCACAGCAAAGGTCGGCCCTCCACACAAGGTGCAGCAGCAGCTTTTCGGGCAGAGCTGGATGGGAAATGATCCTGCTGGAGCGCAGGAGTCAAACACTGTGCCATCCAACTCTCACTACAGCGCACGGAAAACGGGCATCCGAATCCCCTAAAAAGACTTTGAAAAGTGGTACTTTTCAATAATAACAATGACAGTAATTTGTTGGCAAGAAAGCTCTCTACAGCTATGTTTTAACTATTTCTTGTAGATTATCATCACTTGCAATGAAAGCTCTCTCCAGCTCAACGACAGTGATTAGATACAGACCTTTCATTAGAGCTGGACAAAGGTGCACAGTTTTAAAAAATGTGCATTCTGCCATGAACAGAAGTGTCAAGTTTTAGTTTGCTGTGATTCATGGAGTCATATAAGTGTTTGAAAAAGTATTTGGAGATCCAGATTTTTTTATACTTACTTATTACTTAAATGTCACATGGAAAATCTCTCTATAAGTATGTATACATGCATCCACCATAGTGAAATCATTACAACAATAAATACCCAGAGATTAGGTATTTCTTTGGTTGGCCTTTCCAAAGATACATCCTATTAGGTGATGGTCACTACAAGTAAAGACAGTGAATGCTAAAAGAATTATCCTGTAAAATTTCTGGTAGGATTGTGATGAAAATACATCCATTCATGGATATTCTGACTACATAAAACTCTGTCCCTTCAGAAATGGTGTAACAGGAATTCAGTAAAAGGCACATTCATTAACTTCCAATGGAAATGTGATAAAAGGTCTAGGATCTCATATGACAGTAGTACTTTCAACTACAGTCAAAAGGTCTAAAGTTATTATATTCATGAATCTCAAAGTATTTCTGCACATTGAAGAATATCTATTTCATGCAGCCTTTAATCAATACACTAAACAGAGGCTACTGCAGCTACCAGTAGCTACAAGTATTTCAGTTTTCTGTCAATGAAAGAACTCACTGAGCTTGATCATCAATCCTCTGCTGCAAAGCTGCTACTCATGAATTCAAAAGAGGAGATTCAAGCCACATCCATGAAAGTGAAAACAGAGAGATCTGGGGAAAGACAGCTCCACAGAAAAAATGTTCGAAATGTCAAGAAACAGAAGCAAAATGCCATTTATCCATCTAAACATCACTGAGCTCACATCAAACTTGAGGAAACTACAGACTGCATGTGCCACCAGTAAGTAAGCATAAAAAGAGGTTAAATCCCCAAGAGTGTAACAAAAATCATAAAAATATGGACCTGTAGACTACAATTTGTATGACTACCAATACTCATTCAATTGCTATGTTTACTCCACACACCAAGGATAAAATGCTTCCTGCATGCATCCTTCACTGAATTCTTTAATGACCGAGTGGAAGGAAATAATCTGACAACGTCTTCTGATCAACCCACAGTGCTAGTGGCAGATTACAAGTCTCCAAGTACGAAGTGCACTTTTTGATTTGAAAGACTGGTTGCCATTAGCCAGACAACAATATTCTTTCAAGCATAACTCCTCCATTTCATGTAATACTTAACAAATTAGTCTCAAATATTGCTGTGCAGTGACTATATGAGATTACCACCATGCACCCCAATGTTTATTAATCTAATGTTAAGGAGTAACATGTGACAAATTCCACCTATTCAAAGGAAAAAATGGATCTGTGGGGTAAGACAAAACAGTAGACTGTTTAAATCACAATGTAGTTAAAAATACTGACTTTGTCCACTTGGGAGAAAGGTGACGTACCCTGCCCACTGCTGCTACGAATGTGCTTAGATTCTTCTCAGTAACAGAGCACCAGAACTGTTGCCAGGCTGGACTGCCCCATCAGACCGTAGTTTTTGGATTATACATCAGTGTGTTATGGTTTCACATCCAGGTTTTCCAAGTGGCACGCTATCACTGGGGAGAAGCTTGTTTATTTTAATTGACACAAACAAGAAGGTGTTTATCCAGGGGTTAAAGCTACTGACTGAATTGTCCATTTCAAGCTGTAAGATCCCTTCTGTAAAATGAAACTGATCTTCAATCTAATCAATGAACAGTTCATGTTTTTAGGAAAACACATGAGGACAGAGAAAATAAAAATAGCGTGCGTAATTTAAAAAGCAGTACTGATTTTGGTTTTTATGTACCTAGTTTTATTTTAAATTCTTTCGCGTAACATCAAAACTCTCACTATGTTTTCTTCTTAATTTACAGTACATGTGCAAATACAGCCCTATCCAATCTAAACCCATGTATTACTTATTACACAGCTTGTTAAATGGTATGTTATTTCCTCCGTTGGCAAAGGCAACAGAGATTTCCTCTCAGAGGCAGCAACAAGTCGAAAAAGAGAAGCAAACTGATCCATCTGGTTTCCAGACTACAGTGCTCTTTCCCCACTTTTCCTCAGTCATTCAAGTTTCACTGTAGTTTGAAACAACAAAATGAAGCCTGGCCGTCTAGCAACATGCCAGGGATTGCTTCCAGAGATTCTCCAGTGAGTATCCATCAATATTTTTCCAATCATCACCCTCTATTTACCTCTCTTCAAAGTATACACCAGATAAATATCAAGGTTTGATGGGTACTATCGTTACCCTTAAGGCAAGATATAACACTCAGCTCCTGGTTTTGAGGAAGCAAAGCATTTATGCCCTGTTTTCCACAGAAAAGTTAAGTCATATTAGAAAATGACCTTGCTACTAATTGCTGCTATTTCTCACGGCTGGGAGTCATGGCAGCAAAAGACAGGTCATGTTTAATACTGTTTGAACAGGTCGCGGCTAACCTGGCAACACCAGCGGAGATGTTCTTCCAGTTAGTCAAAGTCTACTGGAAGTATTTAAAGGTCTTCTAAATCTGACTTATTGGACATTAAGTAACTGTCAGGATGCAGCATCTTCCTCTCTGTAGAATAAAGAGCTAAGGTATTTATTTCTTTTTCTCCAGGAACACACAGAACTCACGGTCTCCTGGGGACTCCCAGATTTTTTTAGTGGATATTCACAATTTTTCAAAAGGACCATTTTGTTTGGCTTCAAGAGCAAAACTGATTTTAGATAAAACTCTTTTTGAGTCAGGAGAAACTATCAAATCTCATGAAGGACATAAGTAATAAAAGACAAAAATCCTAGTATTTTGCTGGCACCCAAAGAAAGTGGCTGCAGCAGGCACATGAGAAAAAGATAGCTCCTCCAGAGTAATTTCCTAGTATTATTTTTAAAGAGAAAGCATTGCAACACTTATCTGCCAGAATAACACACACTCTTACTCTGCCAAATGACTGAGATGGGAAGACAGCTGCTAATAATGGCCCTAGTCTCCTTCAGTACAAGGCCTTAAAACCCTACTCTGCGAATCTGTATTTTTAAAAGAGCAAAGTTTGCCAGATCTTGTCAAAAGGAATCCAAGAGCCTCCCCAAACCAAAGAAAGATTAGTTTAACTTGGTCAGTTCCCCGCTACAAATTACCACGAGATTTTACAGGCAAGTCCACTGACACCTGAGGGTGCAGGAATGAGAAGTGGGGAGGGATGGGGTCTGCTCATGCCAGGCTGGCACCAAACAAGTCTATGAAATCTCAGCTCTATTCTCCCATAAGCCACTTTGAGAAGGGATGCAGGTACCGTGAAAGATATTTCTAGCTGCAAGTGTTTATTTACGGGTCTGCAGTACCTTCAGAAAACAAGATGTGGGTGGTTATCTCTTGTTTCAAATATTTAAAATTTACTGAAAACATTTCTCTAGCAAAGAGCAAACTTAATGACGAAATAAAACTCAGATTTTATGTAAACATTAAAGACAAAACAAAATACATACAGAATAGAACCCAAGCACAAACTCACATTTTTGTCATAAATGTTTCCAGAACATGGTTGTCGTCTGTTATTCCTAAGACTTCTGACATTCGGGCATACACCTAGAAATAAACATTTCAATAGCAACATATTAGAGGCATTTACAAGTACCAACATTTTCTGTTATTCTAAAACCTTCCCTATTTCAGTTTCGTATGAGAACAGCACAGGCACACAGGCTGGCCCATGCAGCCGAGCTGAAGTGCTCTGTTTGGGAGTGATGGGGTTTTACTTGCCCTTGAATATATTTTTTTCCACAAAAGAGACGTAAATTTTCCACATCAAGCTCACTGTTTTTCACAGAACAACATAGTCTCTATTGAAAAATCCTGTTATACTACAAAGGGGATGGACAAAACATTCTTCTGTTGGTCTCTGTCCTCAGCGGGATGTGATTCAACACTGTCCTTTGGCCTGCGTTTGCAAATTCTTGCCCTGCCAATCATAAATTCCAATAAATTAAGTACTCTTCAGACATTCTGTTTTGTGTTTGTGAAGGGAAAACAAAGGCAGCCAAATAACTAGCAGTTGTATACCTTTCCCCTTTATTTCAGATGCAAGACATATATTACCATCCAAGTTTTTTCTACCCATCAGATCAAACTGCTGTTACGGTGCAGCAACAAACACACAGGACACATCAAGTACATTTATTTCCTTACTGTGTAATTTTCAAAAAAACATTCTGTAAGTTTTAGCTGCCTAACTTTTAGTCTGGATAAAAACATTTCACTGAGTTAAATCAACTTCAGAAACAGAAGGGAGACTTGTACCACAAAATCGCTTTACAATCCCCTGCCAGCTCACTTTACCCTGAGCTCAAGTAACTCTGAGATTTGCGTACAACTGGGCTAAGCGCTGCCAGTCAGTCCGTTTCATTTCAGTCATTGTAACCCTTAGTGTCACGAAACCAAATATTATGGGTTATATGTAATCCTTCCACACGATGTGACCAAGCCAAGTGTCCCTGAGGTCTGAGAAGAGAGCACCTAGCAGGGCAGAGGCAGCGTTACCCAGCGGTGAAGGCCTGGTGCCACCTAGCTGTCACTTCTGCTCGCTCACAGCACATATTCCACACAAATTTTGCCGAACTGGAGCCAACTCAGTCCTCCTGGCACTGCACCTAAACTGCCTTGGACCAACTTCCCTTCTGCCGGTGACGTAATCCCACGACTTTGCTTAAAACCCAAACCAACAGCACTCTACATCTGAGGAAGTCATTAATAATAATGACAACACAAATACTAAATGAGAAAATAAAAATTGCACTTCTGTGTCACACAGAATCACAGAATTAGAGAATGACAGGGGTTGGAAGGGATCTCAAAAGATCCCAGAGACTTCAGTTTTAAATTCAAGTAGAATAAAGGCATGGATAAATAAGCTTGCAGCTCTAGCCAGAAATTCCACCAAGATCAAGGATAAGTTAACCTGCGAGCTAGCTTATTCTTTTTTTTTAATAATGATATGAATATAATTTATTGTGACAAAATCAGAAGTGAAAGGACATTCTAAATAGCAAAGAATTACTATACAGTTCTTTAAACGTTGCAAAATATCAGGTTCACACTGTAAATGTGAAGTTATTTATCACCATTAAACATGACAACGACAATATATTCAAATAAAAATACTTTTGTCCAGCTAAAATATCTCTAACTAGCGCGCAGCTGAAATGCTAGAGCAGCTGCAGCTTTAGCCAAGTTCAAGAACTTCTCTAGTTGATACGAGGAAAAGAGAAAAAGAGCTAGCAAGGAATGTAAACGTATCAGCAAACACCCGTTTCTGTGAAGAGCTTTCCTTTCCACCACGGGAGCGCATGTGGCAGCAGCATTGTGCTCTGTTGTCAAACTCGGCTCTCCCCGCATCAGAGTTTAACAAATAAAATACTAAACCAGCAGTCAGTGTTGACAAAGAGCAGTGCTTTAATCCACAATTATCCTTGTAACTCTTACTACTCCTTTTATCATCCATTAGCTTTGATTCCCATTATCCCATCAAGAACTGTGTCAACGCTTTTGTCCCTGGGGATTTCCCACAACTACTAGGATCTGACAGCCAAGCCTGAGTGCTAAGCAGGATCATTACCTCTTAAATCCACTTATCTGATCCACTGAATAGTAAATTGAAAAGCTCATTAACAGCAACAATCTGATTTGTTTTCACATGTGACAGGGTCATTTCAAGTCAGCGTGAATACAGTGCTTGTAATAAAACCTACCACCCGTTCTGTAATGTGACAAATTGTAAGCTAAAATAAACGTGATATTTTAAACACCTTCTTCAAAATCATTTTCAAAACCAACACAGGCTCTGTAGCACGTAAAAATAGAACAGCAAACAACCCCCAACCACAACAATGAAACACCCTTAAGACTTTTAAGCACTATAAAAAATTAATGATAAAGCATTTTGGATGTATAATAATAATAAAACACACTTGAACAACAAAGACCGTGCTACATATTCAAAAGGCGGAAAAGAACTGTTGAAAGGGGTAATAAAAGGATGTGGAACCACGCGTAGAAGTGATCTCATCAGCCTCGGCTGGGCTCCCTTGCAGAGCCGTGGAGGGAAGGGCAGGACGGAGCCAGGGGCGCCTCGCCACCACTGGGCCCCCTCCCCTGGAGACCTCCCCCTGCCTTCTTCCAGCAAGGCAAACCCAAGGCTTACAGTTCTACTTCTCCCCAGACACTTACGTAAGGCGCAGGGTAAGTAACTTTCGGTAGGAAACAACCGGTTTATGACTTCTGGAAAACCTTCACACGGTCATTCCCCAAATCCTTACCAACTTCAGGATTTATAGCTTCCCAAACAAATCCTACCACAACACACAGTGCTACGTGGTATCACCAGAAAATGTAAGCTTAACAGTTTAACACCATCACCATCTCATTCTTACAACAGTTACGAACATCGGTGAAAAATCCACGTACTCAAGGGCCCTAAAGCAAGCTGGGGCTGATTCCACCGTTGCGACTGACAGCCGAGCGGCCTCGCTGCATTCAAAGGTGACAGCAATGGTCGTGAGAAGAGACCTGCAAAACACCTTCAATAACAGTTTCAGACATACTAAAGCCAAGTGTGAAGGCAAGGGATCCAGAGATCCTTCTCCCCCCCCCCATTTGTACCATTATAACCACCTTGGTGGACTGCAGACATCTGAGGAGGGCAGCGGGCTCACAAGTGCCAGGGAATTTTTTATGACCTAGCAGATTTATCAGTGGTTCAAGTTACATAACCATATACTTCCCAACTACTTGAACTGTACCTGCTGTGTTTCAAAAGGACGAGAAAATAACACTGTAGAAGCAATGTATTATAAAGCAAAGCACTTGTATATAACTAATATCCAAGAAAAAGGTGAAATAATTGAGTAATCACACTAAAATTTCATTTCCCTGTCCTCTCTACTCTTTGGCCCTAGATATGCTTAACTTTGCTTTGTCTTTTGAGGTCTTCTCTTTTTGGTACTATCATTATAACTCTGAAGAAGCTAATTATGTCAATTCTTAAATGTGAAGCAGATTACAGAACTGGGAAGCTCAGAATATGAGTTCCTAAAGGTTGTATGGCTATATAATGACAGTCACAGAAATTCAATAACAGCACTGTACGGAATGTACTCAAACGCACCCCATGAAACAAATTAAAACAGAGCAATGAATCTCTCACACTGTGCAAATAAGAAAACACAAGAAAATGTCGGTTTCTATATGTTTCATAAGGGCTATTATAATGAATTAAGATTTTGGATAATGAATCTTCAGAAAATTACAGTAAAGTTATTACCCGTAGGCACAGTGTAAATGCTTAAGATATTATAACTTCCTTGAAGCTCTCCAGGCCTTGCTGTGGAGAACTATCACTGCAACATTAAAGTATTTTGTCATGAACATTGAGGGCAAAACCAGACCTTAGCTGCATCTACCCCAACCTGACTGAAGCCAAGCGGGACCAGCCAGGGCCGAGGACACGCGGCAGGTCGGGGAGAGCGGCTCCTTCCCCGTGGGCCGCTGGCAATTCACGCAGAGCAGGGGTGGCTGCAGCAGGTTCCTGCGGCTGCTGTCGTCCCAGCGCATCACACACTGAAACTCCATACTCATCACAAGTTTCCTTCTCGGTGTCGAGTGCCACAACCCAGTCATTTCCACCGTTTTTAAAATCACACTCAGGTATTTTGAATTTTCAGTGCTTAAAAGCTCCATTACAACGCAGCAGAAATCTAGCTTCCTAAATCCCACAGACAATTTCTGAAAATCTAAACTGAATCTGCTAATTAGTATAGCACTCATCTACCTCCTGAACAAACTAAAGTCTTTTTCAAGTCTTGGCTTTTCTATCCTCTCCAGAACAGAGGAAAACCTTGGTCAGTTCCAACTCCTGACCAGCTGTCTTCAAAAGGTCAGATCTCAAAATACTCTTAACTCATGAGTCTAAACCAAGAGAATGGGCTAATCTGTTGCTTTATAGTTAGCCCCCTAAATGAAAAAAGCTCAAAAACAGGCCATAGGAAATTGCCTGCTAGTTTCAGAGGCAGTTTCGGTCGATTAAATTGGGCTTAGTGCTAAATAAAAAGTAGGCTACTCTCTCCCATTCACTGCCGCCTGTGTTTGTAAGCAATCAGAGAAACTACACCAGTTACATACTATCGACTGTCTGACCCATAAACCCAGTTCAATTAAAATATTGCATAAAGTTATCCTCAGCTGAAAGAGGCCTCCTATAAAATAACATTTAAAAATACAGGGTATTGTTAGTACAACTCCGTGTTGTGCGCTAGGGGAAAGTGTAAACCTGGTGTGTGGCTCAGTCATTGCCATGGACGCTATTTCCCTCCTAGTCTGTCACCACAAGTTGAAATAGCAGGAGGTGTTTGCAGTTCCTGCAAAGGCTGTTTTCCCAGCCCTCTTCCCCAGCCCCTTCCCGGTCAGCTCAAGGGAGCACAAGAATCCACCAGAGTCTTGGGGTGGGAGCGATTAACGCCCAGCCTGCTGCTCCATAAGATGTCCATGAGAAACCTCTTCTCAAATGGAAACTGATCTCTATTTCAGTGACTTTC